TGTGTGTGTGTGTGTTTTTGTGTTTGAATTGATCCCTTTTGGTGCAGGCTGGACCTTGATGCAGATGAACATGTGGCGAGAGCCCCTCGCAAGCACCGGTTCTATCCAGCTCAGGTGGCTCCTGGTAGGGCTCAATATCGCAGTTGTAATGCAGTGCATCAACCGCGATCCTGCGAGCGCCGGGAGCTACATCCACGTTCGCTCCGTTGCAGCACCGTAGGGGCGAGACCAGGCCGCAGAGGCTGGATGCTGGGATTCGCTTCCGAGGCTGACCCCGGTGTACCGGGAGACCTCTTGCGGCCGGCAAGAGTCCACGCTGAACGACTTCAGGGCGGAGACCTTAGCGCGGCAGAGACGGGAATCGCCGAGGGCGTCTGGCGACTCGCAGAAAGTGCTCGTCCCGAGTTGGGCGTAGATGAGATCTACGTGGACCTGCAGATCAGCGTGCCGGGGACCTCTGGCCTTCTGACGGGGTGACAGCGGCTGGGGCAGGGGCATGACACTTGCGGCGAAGGCACTGCCAGAACCCGAATGCTTACAAGATCGACATCCTGGACTCCGAGTCGCAGTCCCAAAAAACTAAAGCTACGCTCAACGCCGGTTCCCGACCTCTTCTGCAGGCCGGGCATCGTCCAGATCGTCGCAGGAGCCTCCGCCTCGGAGCTTCGGTCGGAGCAATGCGGGCAGGGGCCCTCTATACATAAGCGCACAGTATCACTGTGCTGCAGGGAAGGCCACAGGACAGGATTGCGGCGCTCTCGGCCTTCTTTGAGCGCATTGGGCAGCCCCGCATGCCTGCACGCTGAGGACGTCGGCCGGCTCAAGGTAAAACCCGGATCCAGCTTGTCTCGCTATGGGAAGGGGCTCCGCCGGCCTGGTATTCCTAGGTCAGTGGGGGCTCAGAGGCCCCCTGTCTCTGCCAGGACGGTCTTGGTGGACATGAACGCCACGATCCAGAAGAACATCAGTGAACGGCTTCTTCCAGTCTTCCTGAATGTCTGGATCTCAGCAGACTGTTTCGAGTGCGTGGTGCCGACAAGACGTTTTTGAGGCCCAGGAGATTCCCATCCTCATGCAGTTGCGATTTCAAGTAGGGGCCTGGTCCTCAGCGCCGCAGCGCTTGCAAGCGGAGCTGCAGAAGGCGGCACTGACTCCTCGGACATCGTAATGAACTGCATTGCTTCCAGAGGCTTTCCGTTCCCTTTCGTGCTAAGATACGGCTCTTCTTCGGCTTGGGTGGCAGCTGGCAAGCCAGGGCACCCTTCAACAAGGCGCGAGGGAGCAAGCGGAGTGCAAGACCTACACGAAGCCGATGTGCAAGGCGTGCGGCCTGCAAATGATGGGAGTTTTAGTGAACTCCTTCCAGCAGGAGAGAACTCACCGCCAAGGGATCTGCGCAATCCTCCCCGGGCCTTTCCAGGACAGAGATCGCAGCCGCTTGGGGCCGCTGGTCTGCGTCGGCCTCTGACGTGTGGGTAACCGTAGGCTTCAAAAAAAGTCGTTTTGACTCTAGGCCCTAGGCGGCCTGTAATCACCAGCCAGAAATAACCGATGAGTCTTCTCTTGCTTGGTAGCCCCGGCCACAGGCAAAGACACGTGGGAGGAACTCCTCCGGCCCGGAACCATCCCTGCGGCTACAGAGGACAGGAAGCTTGCTGTCACTTCTACCGCAACTGCGCTGCGGCGTCAGAAGAGCATGTAGCCCTGGTCATGCGAAGATGCGTGAAGATGTGCAGGCACGGGCCGTCGATCGCATGGACTTCGCAGCGGCACAGGTAGCCCCTCTGGAGGCAAGCGGCACAGGGCACAGGACCTGGGTGCGGAATGCAAGTTTCATCGATCTCGATCTCTCCCTCGCTCTCGCTCCTTCCTGCCTTTGGCTCTCTATCTAAGTCTCTATATCATTATATCCATCTGTCTATCTATTTACCCATCTATCTATTTATTTATCTATCTATCTATCTATCTAACCAACTATCTAACTGTAACTTACTAACTGTAACTAACTACCTACCTAACCAACTAACTAGCCAGCTAACTATGTATGTATGTATGTATGTATGTATGTATGTATGTATGTATGTATGTATGTATGTATGTGTGCGTGACTGTATATATATATATATGTACACATAACGTAAGGGCATGCACTGGTTGAAAAATATGTGTATGTCTTTACAAAGACATGTACATGTACATTTGCATGTTCTATCTGTATTCACTTGAACATAATATATGGATATATGTATATATATGAGAGAGAGAGAGAGACCGGTTGTTATATTGTTGCAAAAAAATAGAATCAAAACAACTGAAAATAAGTAAAGTACTTAAAAAGGTTCGGTTTTGATTATTTTAAGTATTTTGGACCCCCAATTTGTACATGAACACAAAATAGATACAAAACATATTTTAGTTAGTTGAGCCACCACCCTTCTCAAGTAATTACAACAAATAGAATTCGTAGTTAAAGTATCTTGAAGAAGAATCCGCGAGGATCAACATATTAAGAATAAATCAATAGGCCGGTCTTGATTATTTAAGTATTTGAAGTGTTTGGGACCCCCAATTTGCAAAAGAGTTGCAATACTTAGAATGGACTGACTTCAGTTATTTTGATTATTGTCATAGTTAAGATTAGTAGGAAATCTTGGTATGTAAAACGTAGGGACAGGGTTTGAATTATTTTGAAGTGTTTAAACCGCCACAAAATATTCAAGTAAATAAAAGGGACCGATCTCAATTATTTAAAACATGGTAATTGTACAAACCTGTACCATATCTGGGTAAGGAATACCTACGGCCAGGAGTTTTATCCTTTGGACTGTTTAAACCACCACATTGCTAAAGCAATTGAAAGAATTAAGATCCGTAGTTAAAGTACCTTTCAGAAGAATCCACGACTATTTAAATAATCGAAAAACAAAAATAATTAAACAACCAAAATAGACCTGCGACTATGGAACCTCGGCTGGCTTGCCCGAGTTGTGAGAGCGTAAACAACCAAAAGAGGCATTTAGGTCCGAATTTAATATCTTTAAGTATTTTAGTCAGACTAGACCACAATGTTGAAAACATTTTCACAGGGAACGATTGTAATCATTTTAAATATTGTAACAATTATCACATATTAAAAGGGCACCTATGGACAGAATTTGAGCGAATTGTAGTATTTAAGCCAGCACACTTCTCAAATATTTAGAGCAATGAACATCCGCAGTTAAACTAAAGTATCTTTAAGAAGAATCCGCGAGATTTTATTAATCAAAAAAATAATCTAAGATGGCCACAATAATTAAATAGGCCAGATTTTACTTACTCTACTTACTGTAATGATTTTGGACCCAATGGAAAATCTTGGTAAGGAAAACCCAGGGCCAGGATTTAAATTACCTAAGTATTTGAAAAACCGCTGTTGTAGAATAAGTAAAGTACCATTAGAATCCGTAGCGAAAGTATCGTTAAGAAGACTCCGCGAAGATTAAAATAATCAAAATCACTGAATGAGTACATAGGCCCGGTTTTAGTTGTTTTATGTCTTTCGTTATTTTGGACCCCCCTCTCCCAATTTTTTTGTAGAACGAACGGGACCGACGAATTTACATATTATACGTATTGTAATTATACTACCCATGAATATACATTAGTACATGCAGAATATACGTAAAAACAATATGTCTGGAAAATATTGTTATAGCCTAGTATATTCCAATAGAGTAGATGATATCATACTACAATGCAAAATACAACAAAATATAAGCTGTATAGTACATATTTCAATAAGTTGTCAACATATAAAGAATAAATATGGTACTATCTGATATGATATGTGATATGATAATAAAGACACACACACACACATATCCACATCTGCATGTATACATACATATATATATATATATATATTGGTGTGTGTGTGTGTGTATGTGTCACTATGTATACCTCTTCCTGTTGCAGGTGCAAACTGGCGAGTTGGCCCGGTGCTCAGCTGGCTCAACTCATGGCTTTTGCATTGCGCCGCGCAGCCTTCGTACTTCTGCAAGGCAAAAAACGTCAGCTTCAGCATCCTTGTTGTGTGCTCGTGCCTGATGGCCAGCATCTTCATGCTGATGCCTCGGGAACATGCCCAGAGATGTGAAGAGCATTGAAAAGCGCTGTTCCGCTGGACGCGAAATCCAGGTGGATTTCGAGATACGGGAAGGTTCCGGATGAGTTGAGGACGCTGCGAGTGAAAGCGGTGCACATGGCGCTGTCCACGTTGGCGGGGAGCAGCATGCAGCCCAGCGTACCAGGCCGGTGACTCCTCAATCCACATAGCACATCGGCACTGGCAGCTTTGTGTCAGGAACAGGAACTGCGCCTTCCCTGGCCAAGTCCAAATCCAGTGCACAGCCGCTCGCTCGGATTCGAGGGTCCTCCCCCCGAAACCGCAGAACGGCTGAAATCATGGCCGTCAAAGAGAAGTTGAGAGAGGAGTTGGTAGATCTCAGATGGCACGTCTGTTGCTTGGTCCAATCACCCTTTGCTTTTGTTCTTTCCCGGAAAGTCTCTGCCCAGGTACCCCTCGGATGTGGGCAGCCTTTCCCAGTCTGCCAGGGGCTCCGGGGGAAGTGCAAAACATGGCCATGTGTACTGGGTAGACGCTGACGTCGGGACCTGTTTTGCAGGTGGATCCGGCTCCCCTCGTGCAGGTGCGGGCCTTCGTCTTCGTGAGTTCACAACAGCCCTCAGCAAGAGCAGAAGAGCGGACAGGTTCCCGAGGAGGACGCGGAGGAAAGAGACGACGCAGAGTCTTGGACCCGTCCCAGCCACCAAAGGGACCTGGGCCGCCAGAGGGCTAAGACGGAGGCTCGGTCGGAAACTGCGAAGCGACGACGATGCCTGACCCCTCTTCGGCAGAACATCATCGCCGAGATGAAGGCTCTAGGCACGGCCTCCAGCGCTGGCCCTTCTGGCGCTGGCGACTCCTCCAGCTCAAGAGGCTTGGCCTTCCGCGCCACTTGGACAAAAAACTCGTAGCAGCTGTGCGCCGTCGCGCCTCGCTTCGCCTTGAGGACTCCTCCTTGGAGAGGTGCACGGGGAGGGCCATGGAGGGTTATTTTGGCGCTGTGGCTGTGAGACTCTGAGATCCGGGGCATTTGGCAAGGCCGAGATCCTTGTCCAAAGGGCTGATGCCTCCCGTCGGCGGCCCAGTCGGAATCGCGGTCTCTCTCTCGCTGTGTTGGTCTCAGGATCGCCAAAACTCGCCGGGTTCCCAGTGCGAAATGAAAGCCGTCCTCTTCAAAAGCTGTGAATGTGTGAAGAGATAGCTGTGTCACGAATCAGCTCCTTTCCACGATCCAGGACGGTAAGACAGCAACAAGCGAATTCCAGCAGGTTCTTCGGCAGAGCACCTAGGCGGCGTAGGCCCAGACGGAGCAAGGCCAAGTCCCACTAAGAAGGCTGGAGGCTGTCCCAGGCTGTCCCCCAGGCCTCGGCTCTTGGCCTCAAGCCGAGGATGGCATCGGACATCACTCGGGGACGTCAGAGCAGCCAGTCTCCCGGGAAGCGCCGGAGTCGAATTCGCGAGAGCCCCAGCGCAGAGCGCAGCAAAGAGGGAAGCGGAAGCGCCGCCCCGCCCCGTTCTCCCGAAGCCCCATGCCATTCAGGTGCAGATGAGCGCAAGGGAAGCGACATGGGCCTGGCCGGCCTTTCTCGTGCCCCTTGGAATGCACCAGATCGGTTCTTTTGCTTTTTGATTCTCACTTGCCAGAAGTTGAGGCCACTTCGCGTCGTTCCGGGCAGGCAAACGCCAGGGCTTGGGGCTTCTGGAATCAAGGATTTTCCGGGGGTGCCCTTGGGCTTCACATCCTTTACATCACTGTATACATTGCCAGATGGGACGAAGCAGCTCGCCGCGGCGAAGGGGCGAAAGCGACTTGGGGAGCGATAAGCCGGAAGCTGAGAGGCAGCTCTTAGGCGATCTGAGGAAAGGAGGAAAGGACATGCAACTGACACGGACCGGGTGAAGTGGTGTGTTTTAAGCTTGAGGGTGGTGAAGTCTCGCTCGCCATCAGCGTCCGGAGCACAGCCGCGACAGCACAGTCTTGCCTTCCACCGTACCGTGTGAGGTTTCGCAATTCGTCGCCTGCTTACGATACAGAAATGGACCAAATGGAGGAGGGGACGCGGACGCCGCCTGACGCCTGAGCAGAAGCCATGGCTCTTGGTCGCCTGGAGCGGTCTCACTGCACGAATTCAGCCCCTTTGGGGTCTAGAGCTGTGCCAAGGCCCACGGCCCAGGCCAGCCGCCAGCCATTTGCCATGGCCGCCATGGCCGTCTTTGCTTGGCGGTGAAGTTCCAACGCGCGCAGGTCCTCCAGCCTCCGACTATATCACCATGCATCCCCCCTTGTCAGAACCAAAAAAATGTCATCGAAGAGGGTGAGACTTGAGAGGCAGAAAAAGCTTCAGCCCTTTTTTTTTGAAGCTGGAAGGAAGAGGCCGAGCACCAGGGACTTTTTCACCCCGACCTCAGTCCCGTTAAAACGATGCATCCCTTGTTGCTGAACCCTTCTTGACTCCAAGCATTTCGGAATTCCCCTGACGGTTTCATACAGCCTTGGGGTTGAGGAGCTTTACTGTCTGGGACCTGTCAGAGCACAAACCTGAGAGGTCTTATTCTTATTGACCCTTTTCGTCTTGAGGGGATGCTTCTGCAGCGGTTCACCGTGCACAACGTACGCTCTGCCACCCCAAATGCCGGAAGGCATGTTGGGAGGGCAATTTCCCGTCAGAGCGACGAAGTAGCAGAGAGTGGTGAGCCAGTTCGGAACAAGATTCGGTTTGTTGCTGAGGACATTTATGCTGAGGGGACGAAGTTACGTACGGCTAATAAAGCACAAAAGCACAGCGCAACAGCTGGAGGCCGTGACGGCGTAGAGACAACGCGATGCTTTCGAGAAACTGATGGGCGTGGCGTTGGTCTGATGTTTTTGGCGTGATTCGGCCTCAGAAGCTGCAGTCAGCAACACCAGCTTCGCAAACATCAAAGAACTGTACAGAGGCGAAACCCACACAAAAATCGACGCTCTCAGCCACGGCTCGCAGACCCGACGACTCAAAGATCTACCGCTCCCCACGCTTCGGCAAACTCTACTCAAGCACCAGGTGAGTGGCCAAATCCAATCGCTCTCGGCGACTGCTAAGCTGCTAAGGTGCTGTCGACGGACGGCCCCTGATCACTTGTCTCTCGAACGTCGCGCATGTAGCTGGACATGACACGTGGACATTAGATGACATTAGCCACTTTGTTTATGGAACTTCCGCGGGGCGCACTCTTCGATTCATTGGCTTTCCCAAGAACATGTCAAACGAGCAAAGGAAAGAGTATTTCGGAGAGAGGGCGCAAGAGGGAAATGCGAATCGCACGCAAGAGCCATGCCATGCGCGTCGAGAGCACACCGTATGGGCAGCATGTGTTTCGCATGTAGTTCTCGGTTTATGGCAGCACTCATCACCTCTATTCCATCCGTAAGTCCGGTGCAACGAGTTTCGCGGGCGCGCAGCCTGCAACGACAGCTGCCCGGCAGCCAGAATCACTTCCTCTGTAGGAATGCCAGTCATTCAAGGACGTATAGGAGCTGGGGCCGGTGAGCCTTTGCACGAGAACGAGACATTTGTTGTCACGGTGCTGCTGGGCAAATTCAGCTTGCAGAGTTTCCTAGAAAGCAGTGGGCAGAGGACCAAAATACCAAGATTCGTTGCCGTTTCGGGCTTCTCCTAGTCTCGTCAGCCTTGACCACTCTTGACCAGTTGATTTGAGACCGGCCGCTTCCGTTTTCCTTTCGCAGCCGCTGCAGTACGGAAGTGATGCACAGAGCCCGGGGTCTGATATGCTCGCATGGTAGCTGCCTCCGAAAGGGCCAATGCCAAGACTCAGCACTCACCTGAACTTTAGGGCCACTTTAGGGTTCGAGTCGGAGGAAGGTTGCAGGCCGTTGCGGGCCCGGGGCGCCCAGCCGCGGTGCGCCCCCGAGCCCTGAGCGAGGCGAGGCAGAGGCAGAGGCAGAGAGTCGCCTTTGTCGTATTCGAAGTCCAGCAGGCCCGCTCCAAGGGCCAAGGGATCATGGAGAAGCAAAGGAGGAGCCAGGACCTCGGACAAAGCCAAGGCCCAAGGCCACTTCCAAGCGTACACCTGGCCCAGGTCGATCCAGATCGCGCGGAGGCCCACGGAATGGAAGTGTCTTCCTGGGTCTCCAGAGCCGCACACGCCACTGACCAGTACCCGGTACCCCCTCTCTCTCTCCTTGCCCCTGTACACTCGCCTGTGAAGTGCTTTTCTGCTCGAAGGAAAGTAGCACTCCAGTGCTGGCCCTTTGCTGTTTCAGAACTGATGGGAAGGTGGCGGAGTGCTCGACCCCCGAACACAGGGGAAGGTGCTTCAGGTGCTTCTGGATCTGGGGCACAGACTGGGCATGCTGGGCCCACGCCGGGGCGCTGGCGCTCCAGACAAGGGGCAGATGCTTCTGGAAACGCAAGGCAAGCCTCACACGTCGCAGGCACTTGCCTTAGTTGAATGTTGCGGCGGTGACCCCAGCCAACCTTGTCTTGGGAAAGATTCACCGGAAGGTGCAGGAAGCATTCTGCTAGCCCAGCCTTCCAAAACTATTCCGGCGGCAAAACATTTCAAATCAGTTCTTCAACACTCGAGCGGAAGCAAATGTAAACAAGACGCTTGGACTGTTAGACGCTAAAAAAAGGGGTCAAGCAGAAGTGCCAAGGAGATCGGCATGCGGCATGGCTGTCTCGTGTGAGTGTGGACTCCTCGCTGGGGCAGCTGACCATCAATATGTCCAAGCGGCTTGGGCCAAAAAAACGCTCCCCACACCTTATCCTGCATATCTCACCTTAATACGATTTCTTGGTGATGAGACCGGTGTCCTTCTTCCAGGGTCATGTCATAGGCCTGCGTGGCTCAGGGTAGCCAGCTTCCGGTTTTCGACAGGCTGGCCCTCAACGATGAGGACATACGAGACTGGTGCCTTTGGTTTCGACACCATCTGCCGCGGCACAAACACAGCCAGAATCTGCAGTACGCTCACATCGACTTTGCAGAGAACAGGCTGCAACTCTGCAAATTTTGTGGGGGGGGAGGGGTCTCATGGCATCTTTTTTTGTCGTTGATCCCCTGCCAGGATATCATCTCAGGGTGCCAAGCTTTTGTTGGAGGCATTTGGAGACCTCCAGCTGCCCGTACGCATCCTGAAGCTGCACCATAACAGGATCGCTTCAGGCCGGCTCCGACCGCAAAGCTCGCACAGAGGGCCCCTGCTTCCCCCCCCCCCCCCCCCCCGCCCCCCGTCGCGGGTCTGGGGCTGTTGGAAGTTTCTTCCGCTTACAGTAACCAACCCCCCCTGAACCCCTGCACCTCGTCACCTCTTCACCTTAACCTTGAGCTTTGGATTCGGGGAGCTGAGTAGATGCGAGAAAGCGGGCTTGGTTTGATGCGCCACGGACTCCAGGTGCCTGTGTCGCCGAGTTCCTGCGCAGAGGCGAGATAGGCAAAGGTCTCGGTATGTTATGCGAGCTTCCACCTGTCAGGTGTGGTTCATGAGCTCCACATCTCGCACAACGAACTCGATGCAGAGGCGCCTCCAATGCACACTCCCCCGTTTGGCTCTTCCAGCTTCACTTGAGGCAGCTGCCAGCATCATCTCGGCCGCGGTGCAAGCCAAGGATTTCCCGCTAGAAAGTGTAGATCCGGCTTTGGTGCGCTTTATAAGAGAAGCCCCTCGAGGATGCCACGGGAGCTGTGTCCTACCCACGCCGCGCGGGCCCGCGAAACTGCGCCCCTCTCTGGGTTGGGGCCCTGAGGTTTCTGTTGCTGATCAGCTTTGAGTTCTTTTCCTGCTCAGGTCCGGATGGAGCAGAACTACATCGACCCGCCGACGCTTCTGCGGCTTCTGGACACTGAAGTGGACCCCAAGCGCAAAACTGCTGGGGTTTTCTGCGATGCCCGCAGCAAGTGGCCTGCTGCTCAGTCTCGCTCCTCAACACCTACATAGCTTGGGGCTACAACGCCCTTGAAGAGCGTTTCTTCAAAGAAGGGGGGGGAAGCACAGAGATGCAGCTTTCTTTGAATGCAGAGAGGGGGCATAGGCCTTGACCTTCACGGCAGTGTGCCTTAAGCTCCCCTCCTTGGGAGGTGCACGCCTCACAGCTGTGCCGCCAAGCAGGCCTCCGCCTGCGTCTGAGACTTCCTTAAGCAGAAGACTTCTCTTCCTCTGGAGCCGTGAGCATATCATAATCCCCTAGTGGGCATCCCTTTTTGTACCCCTATGTACACCCCAACGAAGCTTCGCGCGGGAGCAGCCTGCAGGCCGGCTTGCCAGTCCATTTAAAGAATCTGCCTCAGCAGCGCCGGCGACCCCCGAATAGCTGCTTGGAGTGCCGACTAGTGGCCAGTCTTGGCTGAAGTGTCTGAGAATTGCATACGACAAGCCGCAGACGACTCTTCAGGGTGCTGGTGATCCGGTTCAGACGCTGTACCACTCACCCTCAGCTCCCTACCAGTTCGCAGCCGTAGATAGACAGTACCGGTTGAACTTGCGAGGGTAGTTCATAATCCAGCTTGTGGCAGGATTACCCTTGCGACACCTCTGTCCTTACACTGTTGCTTGTCCGCGTCATTCCTTGATTTCCGGTGTCCACGCCACGGTCCCTGCGATGTTCGAGCCCTCTCTGGAACCATGCCAGGTGCATAGTCTTCGCATTCTCGCTTTGCAAATCCGGCGTCAGCGTTTCTACATTTCTACAGTATTCGGCTGCTTGTTTTGTTGGGAAAGACGGGGACCCAGGCATCTTAGCGGCTCCTGCTCTTGGAAGCATCCGGCAGCTGCCGGACGGGACGGAGCAAGCCTGCATTCTGCAATTTGACTGGGACACCGGCCGGTGGCTACCGCAAGTCATCGACATTCCGCCCAACGATCCTAGTTCGCAGTGGGCTGGGAAAAGCGCGAGAGCAAAACGCTCCATGCTCAGGAGCTGGAGCTCGAGGCTTCCTGGGAAGAAGGCATGGAGGGGCTTTGGGGGCGGGCCGGGCTGTCCCCGCCTTGCGCTCCGCCTTTCGGCCTTTGCCTTTGCCTTGCAGGTGAGGAAGCCGAAGCCGACGGACAGCAGATTCAACCTCTGAGTTTGGAGGCGGGGAGGGTGCCCCCTGAGTGCCCCTTTGTGAGCCTTACGAGCGGAGTCAGAGCAGCGCTCAGACGTCAGGTCGGCCAGTCCCTGGGCGCGGACATCCTCCGCTCCCTCTGGGCTTTCTGCCCGCAATTGCTCTGCAAGGGTTCTTTAACTGCCCTTCGATGAGTCTCAGAAAGCCTAGTCCCCCACAGCTGAGGAGTTCGAGACGGAGGTGACGGAGCCCCAAGCAGTTGCCACCCCGTCAAGGCCTGGCCGCCTCATTGCCAGGAACCGCTTCAGGCTTCACCCCAAACACAGGGCACAGGGCATGACCACGCTTTCATGTTTTGCGAACGCTGCGGAAGGTCGATCTTCAACCCTTCGGCACCGGAGTTCGAGCCGGGCGGGAGGTGGAAACGACCCGCCCACCTTACCCTTGTAGGGTGTAGAGCTTATCGGGCTTAGGTTTACAGTGCTGCTACGGATGGGGATTTCACTGGTTTTGCTCGGCGTTTTGGGTGGCGTTTGCATTTCTCATGGACAGGTGCTTCGTGTCCAGCTTCAGCGAGGAGCCCCCTGCTGCTTGCCCACGCAATGCAGCTTCCCTCTCCTTTTCAGAAACTACCTCGGACCCCAAAGCCTATTCCCAAAAGCCAAAGGCCTGCACATTCTCAATGTTGTTATCCCGATGCTCTCCCCACAGACCGTCTCGATTATGAGCTCCGACTCATCCTAAACCCTAGGCCATCAAACACCTTAACCCAGCTGCATGTCTTCACCTGATCCGTGGCTGCATTGAGTGAGTCGAAACATAGAATCCCGAAATCCCATATCTCAGGAACAGGTCGTCAGCACAGACACCTCAGCTGGGGCTGCTTCCGAAGCTACAGAGGGCTCCGATGCGGCCTTGGCAAGTGATATGTGAGTAGTCTAAGACCCCTCGGGGCGCTCGGAGCCTCTTCCATTTCTTGGGGGGCTGATGAGTGTTTTTTGTTTTCTGAAAAGGGGGTCTCCGAAAATAGGGGACCCTGCCAAAATATAGTACTTTAAATAGTAGGATCCTCATTACAAGGACCCCAAAAATATGGTAACCTAATTTCGGAAACTCCCAAAGGCCAGGCTGCTTTTTGGGTGGTGATTTGTCGGGGCGACGGGCTTCCCACAGCCAGAGCCGAGGCCGCTGCGGGCGCCGAGCTCGGCGAGTCCCCGAATCCCACCGAGCTGGGCAGCCTCTGAGTCTGCGCAGAGCGAAGGTTTCAGAAGGTTTCGCTCCCTTTTCAGAAGCAAGGGAGATTTGTTGAAGCGTTGGTTCAGTGCTGCAAAGCCAAGGCCTCTCGTCCGATGCCGTTCCGGATCGAGAGCCGACGCTTGCCTTCGCAACTTCCAAAAGCTTTAAGTGGTTTATCGGTTTTTAACTTCGGAGGGGGGGAGGGGAAAGGGGGGGCAAAGAAGTCGAAAGCCCTTTTCGCTGTTTCAGGAGGGCCAGGGCCGGGCAGGAGCTGCCGGACGACTGCCAGAGCCAAGCCTCCGATGGTTCCGGGACGGAAGCCGAGGCCTGTGCTCGTCCTCGTCCTCGTAGCATGCGGCCTTTGAAGCGGTTCGAGGTTCATGGTGTGTATCTAGAACCGTGTGAGAAAAAAGCGGAGGGGCGGGGGGGGCAGCCTGCTGGAAGTTTCCTTTTGTGGGGGGCGGGGGGGGGGGGGGCGGTTTCAGGCGATTGGCCCGGCGAATGGCGAAGGCGGCGACCTGGGAAAAATGCCGCTCCAGGCCCAGGGCTCCACTCGGAAGAGCGAGCCGAGACTCGGAGAATTTTCAGGGGTTTAGGGTCTAGGGTTAAACAGAGGTGGCATATGCGTAGTCCAGGTGTAAAAATGGTTAAACAGAGGTCTTCCCTTTTTTTCCATTTTGTGTGCGTTTTTTGTCTGAGAAACCACAGCCGATGGAGCTGCACTCAGGCACTGGCCGTGCACTGTGATGTGAGCCTCAAGGCTTCAAGCCCATCGGAATCGCGGGGCCTTGTTGCCCCGTCTGGCGAACGCCAAACTTAGCAGAAGTACTGCAAGGTTCTGCCTTCACATCCTGTTCTCGTTCGCCAGCGTATCGTCCCAGAGTTGCCTTATTTATGGGACGTAGTGTGGATAGCATTCCAAGTCCTGAAGTGCCGTCTTCACAACCGGCTAGCCGCCATCAGGCGCAAAGCTCCGAAACGGCAGGGAAGACGAGCAATCGCTCTTTACCCAACTCGTCTGCCCATCCCCGCGTTTATTTTGCGGTCACAGGCAAAAGTTGGCAGAATCCCGAGGTTACTTCGCAAGTGACACTAGAAGCTTTTGGTTTCGTCCCTCATCAAGCGCCAGCCGCCGAATAGCAAGCAGTCTTGGGAGTTTACTGAGGTGCAGGGCGACGTCTCTGTTACAAGTCACGCCTCCACAATCACCAGACATCTTGATCCTCAGTAGGCCTACTGCAAGTTGTATTCGCCGTGGCCGCAACAGGGGCCGCAACCCGAAGGACAAACCCAACCTTTCAGCCTTGGACCTTGCAGCCGTTTTGTACTGCTAGGACGCTCTGGTGCTTATATCATCAATAGAATTGCACGAAGTGGCTGCGCCTGCCACTTAGGGTCACGTTCTCGGTGCTGCCTTGGTAGCTCTAATGGTCTCGACTTTCTGGAGGAGCGCAGCACTACGCATTTGCTTTGTCCGCATTCCTGCGTATCAAGATGGGTGGAAATGTTTTCAGGTTCCATGTGAAGTTTAGGCAGGCTAAATTCGAGCAAAGCTGGTGGCTGCCTGAAAGTGGCGAGATGCTCAGTTTGCAAGCAAAGCCCGCGGGCTAGAAGCATTACTGTAGGCAGCCAAGTGGCACATTCAAGCCTTAAAGGGTACAAAAAAAACTTTGGCGGTCTCCGCCATGAGTGCCTCCTCGGACGAAGAGGAGGCGAGACCCGGCAGAGGACTCCGCGTCAGCCCTGCTTAGTGAGAGAGAGGAAGAGGGACGCAGCTGGAATCCTAGAGGAAAGCTTCTTCAGCGGCAGAAGCGCGAGCTGAAGGCTCCCTGCGGAAACGATCCTCAGCACGGCACGGCAGTACTAACAGGCCCCTGTTTTGCCTGGAGGCTCTCTTGGAGCAGAAGCGCTTGGAAGCCGGTGGCTTGGAAAAACACCGAATGAAGGGGACAGAAATAGGCCCAAAAGGGGCCTCGAAAATGTAATCGAAGTCGAAGCCGGGCCTCAGCCCCGAGCCGAGAAGCTTAAATGCTCAAAGATGGGAGGAGAACTTTCCACATCGCTTCGTTTGCCTATTCCAGGTAAGCTGACAAGCTTCGCGAAAGCCAAGAGGGAGCACAAGAAGATCGAAGCGCGTCAGGAGAAGCGGGACCTGGAGGAGCTCAGCTCTTTCCTTTTGCTCTCCTTAAAGCCCCTTCCTCGGTCCTCGGCCTCGCTCTTTTTGAGGAGAAGTTCCGGGTGCTGGAGGAGGAGTTGAAAGCCAGGCACGAGACGGAGCTCAAAGAGCTGGGACCCTCCGGGGACGCTGACGAGCCAGAGGCGGCCCGGAGCCGAACCAGCAAAAGACACAAAAACAAATCTCCACACCTCTCAGTCTCCTCTTGCGCTTGCCACATGGATCCGAGGCCACAAAAAAGATCTCCATCTCCCTTTTCTTGTCTTTGCCACATGGATCCGAGGCCGACTCCTTGCCGGTGCGGGACCAGGATGGCCGCGACAGCTCGGAAACTGAAGCAGGCTCGCTCAGGAGGCTAAGTCACTGGACTACAGAGGCCGAAGAGGTCGCATGGTGGCCAAGCAGGTCTGTTGTCGCGTGCCATAAGCGCTGTGGCTGTGGCATCTTCCTGTTGCATTGGGATGAGACGACCGGAACTCACAAAAAGTAATCTTTCCCTTCAGTGCAGCTGGCATGAGCACGGCTGGGGGACTGAGGAGATCTTACGGTCTAGACCCTGCTGTAGGCAGCTAGGCCTGCTTGGCAACCTGGCCAGGCACAAGAAGGGCCCGAATACAAAAGAAGAAGGACATGCTCGCAGAGATCGAGAAGGAGCTGCGGGAAGCGGGCACTTGACCCTTACCCGCGTCAGATCGGTGTTTCACCTCTGTACATAGCGATGCATAACCTATTCTACTGCGGCAAGTGTAAGCCATCAGAAGGATGCTTCGCCCAGTGAGACATGTAGCAAAAGGGGCCGGGCGCAGGGCTGCCGCAAAGCTGATCCGAACCTCCACTCCAACATCGGGTCGGTCTTGTGTCTTGTGGAGGTGGTCGGCGAGAAGCCAGCAAGAGCCGGAGCGGCAGCCACTTTGGTCTAGTTTTGGTCGAGTTTTCGTCGGGGGTTGGATTGCAGTCAGGGTTTTCAAGCGAAGGTCGCGGCAGAGAGGACAAGCTGGTTCCGGCCGCGGCACCGCAACGAGTCCGGATTCAGTCCTTCGAGGCGACCTGTCTCCACTGGTCCACAGCGTTTCGTGAGCTTTGCGTTGGAGGAGATCCTGGCAGCTGTGCGCTCCGGCGCCATGCCCTCCATGATGCCGGGTGGCCCAGAGCGAGCAGAGCGTTCTCTTGGGGCACCCAGGGTTTGACCGAGGCCCGCCAGGGCCGGTTCCGCGTTGCAGCCGCAGACCGCAGGCAGTTGGAGCTGGCAGAAGGCCAGAGCCGGGAAGAGTTTAAAGCTGAACAGGCGGCTTCATGCTGCCAGCACGTGCGGAGCCCAGAGGATCAGACTCTTCCCAAGCACCCACAGACGATCCTTGCAAGTGGCACCAGAGAGCTGCGTGAAAGTGACCACGTCGATCTGTTTAAACACCTCCAAAACAAGCGTCTTTCAGAGTTGAGTTTCGAGTTTCTGAGTCGATGGGTATTATAAGAAGTCTTGAGGGACAAGTCTGCAGTGACATCATCAACAAGACGTGTGTGAAGTGTCCGGTCGTCGCGAAAGTTGTTATGCGACTGCCCTGTTCAGCTTCGGAAGCAACTACAGACTGGAGAGTGTGCAGAAATCAACCGGCCGAGCACCGGAGAACCCTTGCAGCATTCGTTGCCGAAGGCTCACTCTACGACTCCGGCTGATGCCTCAGAGCCCTCTCTCAAGCCTTTAAACCAACAACGCCGGATGTGATGCGCCGAGGCTACAAGGGCCAAATGTTCGGGCCTTCCGGTGAAGATTGCCCACAAGCACGTCCGGAGGCTGAGCGGCCGGTTTTGGAGTGACCTGTGCGTCCTTGACGTGCTCTGGATCAGATGCTCGAGCGGGCAAAGGAGGAAGCCAAGATGGCAGAGGAGCAAGGCGATGCCACGCGAGATGCCACGCGATATTTTTACGCGATGCTGAGAGGTCGAGCATCAGGTCATCACTTCTCGCTTGCTTAACTGAGGCAAGCGAGCCGCCAAAAAAGGCGCTTCCATCCCGACAGGGCCACCAGGACTTCCAACGGGCGTGGTGGTATCAGCCCCGGTCGGAAACCGCTGGGAAGGTGAGAAGGGCGACAGTGTAGTGTGAATCTTTTTACTGTCAAGGTCGTTGAGCAGAAGTACGTGGATTTCCTACTTGGCCCGGGAGGAAGCCCAGCAGTGTTACTCTTGAACGCATGCATCGGCCGTTGAAAAGCAGGGCAATCCCTGGCGGCGATCAACCACGCAGCCGGGGTCAATGTGAATCTGGATCAGACGCACAAGTTCTCGGGCTATAGCATTGCCAACATCTACGGGCCCGAGGAGCTCTGGAATCTAGAGTCAGTGTTTAATGCCAGTGCAGATCTGCTCGACATGTACGTGAGGACAGGGTGCGCAATGCCAAATTGGCGATTGACTTCAAGCTCTCCCAGTGGCTTCCACTTCATGAGCGACGGAGAACAGGAGGTGCGGTCAACAGCCAGTCGAACCAGGCCCGGGCTCACCAAGTGGGCGCTCTCGCTTTGCGCACCCTGTTGAGATGCGAGCCCCCACCCGCCGCAGGTTCCTGCACCACTTGGGGGACGGGAGCTGGGAGCTTAACACGTCCCCTTCCACGCTTGCAGGCGCTGGTCCGGGGAGTCAGTGATCCATCCAATTGCTGTCGCACAGCCTCCATCTTTCAGTGGCAACAGCATTTCCGAACTGGGGAGGGCAGAGGCGACCGTCCTAGCCTTGTGTTTCGAGCTGCCGCGGTCATATCCGAGCTGCCGACCTGAAGGAACCCTTAAACACAAGCACTTGGATTCGTATCGAAAGCATAGCTGCCACTTCTGCCACATCGTGAAGGCGTGCCGACATTAAAACCGTTCATGTCAGGCAGAAGTGCCGGCGTCCTCTTCAGAACGGTGCGCGGTGTTAGAAGGAAGATTTAATGGAAGGATGGTATCGAGTTGCTTGAAGCAAGATCTAGAGATGATCAGAGTTGGGAAGCGAGAGAGAGAGAGAGAGAGTTTCCGGGAAAAAAACCGGCGCGGTAATCGCAGAGAGGGAACGCGCACGGACCCCGAGGCCTTCCGCTGGCACCTGGAGATCAGGGAGCCAGGGCCAGGTCACGGCATCAGGCGCGGAGCCTGGAGAACCCGTGATATTCATATTCATATTCATGTAAACATATATATATATATATATATATATATATATTATAGTCTAGTATATTACACATATATGTATATACATATTATATTTCTATATATGATACATATATATATATATAAACCCCTTTTTGAAGCCGACTTCAAAGGGCGTCTTTGCGCGTTGGATCTGCCGCCCGCTCTTTTTGAGGCAGTGCCGGCACGTGGCCGCTTGGACCGAGATTCGACAAACAGAGAGGCTTCTTCGTAAACGAACGAAGAGGCCCTTTCGGCTTTTTCCGAGGTCCAAAGATGGCGATCAGGCAGTTGAGGCGGGGGGGTGCCTTCCCGACCTTGGAGAGGGTTAGCGAGAATCCTGCTGCTGCAGGGCAAGCCCATTACTGGCGGCCTCCTTTGATGGCCGCACAATGCAGGGCCCGATGCCTTTTGGCCTGCCCCAAGAAGCCAAGCTAGGTGCTGAAGCTCGTACTCGCAATGCCAGCATTGCTGTTGTGCGCTTGGTTCTGGGGCAGCCGGCCACGGATTGCACTGCTGTGAGGGGCGCGCTGGAGAAGTCTTTGTGCGTTGTCGCGTGAGTGAGTGCGTCGGCGAGCCTTTGAGCCAGCCCGTCTTCAGTCTGATCCGCAGCCAAGAGATCAAGATGTAGTCACTTCGCCCATGGCCTCGGGGCGCCACGGGGCACAGCGCTCCCGGCTGCTGCGCCAGGAGGCCTTGTGCAAAGTGAGAGCTGTCCGACCAAAGTCGCTGAAGCTGCCTGGGCATCCGAGAGACCTCAAACCCCAGGCCAGTCCGATTTTTGGTGACAGGCGAAAAGAAGACGTAAACGCGTAAAGAAAACCGTCGCAGAACCTCTAGAGTCACACGCCAAAGTCCTTTTCCGGGGGGTCCGGGGTGCTCCTTGCAGGCACCGGGAGATGCTTCCAGCCAGGCCTTCGAGGAGTCGAAAGTAGGGCCTCGTAGTCGGCCGTAGAGACGGCCCTCTCGACGGATCCACGAATCCGATGAAAAGCAATCGCAACGAATCGTAACTGCGCCGTCAATCTACTTTTAGCGCTGCCACTGCCCCTTCCCAAAGCAGACCCATGAAAGCCCAAGGAGTATTACAAGATACAGCAGATCGTTGCGGAGGAGTGCTGCCAAAAGTGAGTTGCATGTCCGCTGTGCTCCGTGCATGTTGCATACAGGATTCCTGGCATGAGTTTCTGGAGACCCTCAGACGGCCCATGCCAGTGGTGGTCCGCATCAACCGCACAAAGCCTCACTGGAAGGACTGTTGACTGGCAAAGCGTTTGGGAAGTGAGCTGCCTGAGTTGCTCGAGGACTTGCATGAGGCATTCGCCCGCGATCTGCGGTGGCTGCCTTTGAACTGGTTTCCGCACGCGTGGCAATGCGAGGCCCAGGTGCAGCGGTTAGCAACAGCACCGAGAGAGCTAACACGTCCTGAGGGTTCCTGGCACAGGACTACGATGATGCTTTGCGCAGCCAGTGTTCCAGCCTCAACAAGGCCTACTCCCTCCGTTTCCAGGCCCAGCTACAGGGGTTGCTGAGATGTCGCGGCGACCCGCTGATCCGCTCAGCAGGAGAGCGCCTCCTTGCTGCCGCCCCTGCTCCTGAAGGAGAGCCGAGGGCCGAGGGCCCCTTTGTTACACCGCAGCTCCTAGCCTCGCCTTCAGATCCAGCCTGGGGATTTGGTCCTGGACCTCTGCGCCGCACCAGGCAGCCTTTCTACGGCTCTTCTGCGCGCTTTGCTGGCATTGGCGTGGTTCCTTTGTCGATTTCGCAGCGGAGAGGCAGCAAGACCTTGGAGTGCATCGAGCTGATGCGCGAAGCAGAGACCACAGCTCCTGGGCGGCTTCAGCGGGAAGAGAGAGAGAGAGAGACAGTCGGACCTCCACCACTCCCGGCAGAGAGATAGGAGTCGCAGCTGCATCGCGCTTCGAGTGCCGTTCCCGCTCTCGCGATCTCTCGCGGCCGTGCCCGAGCCTTCGGCCGCCGACCGAAATGGCCTCGAAGAGAAACTTCTCCGCTTGCCCTAGATCGCATCCGAAGAAAACAGCAGCAGTTCTACTTTCTGCAGATGGCACCATGAGTTTTTGTCAGACCCACCCGCCCGACTGAAGCACCAGAAGCTGCTCTGTTTGGGCAGTGCACCTTTCGTGCTCTTGTTTGCGGTAGCCGCCGACGAATTTTGAGGAAGATGCCGGAGTTATCATTGCGAATGACGCAGATGCGGAGCGATGCTTCGAGCTGTTGCCGCTCGTAGTGCGAAAGGCACACAACACGGCTCTCCCTCTCTCAGACTCTCTCCTCTGTTTCTCTTTCTCTCTCTTTCTCTCTCGGACTCTCTTTCTCTCTCTCTCTCTCTCTCTCTCTCCGACGATTTGTGTCATGGGGAGAGGCACGGCACCCTGGCTGCGCCGTGGTACTCGGTAGCGCCGCAAAATACCCCGCACAGTTCCATGGCCCCGCCGAGCAGCTCCTGCACCTTCGTGGCCACAGGATGCTTAGACTTTGCCCCTGGCACTGGCACGACAGCCCTCTCTCCGTAAAAGACCCTTAGTGCGAGCTCAGGTATGATCGCGTCCTTTGTGATGTGCCCTGCTCCGGGGATGGAACACTGCGGAAGCGGCCGCAGTGTTGGAAGACCTGGTCAGTCGACCCGAGGCTCATGTTTGGGAATTTTCTAGGCATGCAGCGAGACAGGCTTGTAGTACTGTAGGAGGGGTTTTGGATGATAGACAAGTGCAAAGTGGGCTGAGGAGTTCGCCATGACTCTCCACAGCAAGCAGCTTCAGATTTTATGCCGTGGCCTGCATCTTCTCAAGCCTGGCGGCCGCCTGGTCTACTCCACCTGCAGCCTGAACCCTCTGGAGAACGAGGCGAGGCAAAAGGCCATTGCTCTGCGTGCCTTCTGACAGCCAGAGAGAGAGGCCGTCATCTCCGCTGCACTGGCCCGCTTTGGTGAGGATGTGGTGCTCGCAGCTCGAATCGAAGAGGGCCCCAATTTGGAGCTTCCGTGAGCTGAGCCGAGCGAAAGCTCCACCCTCGAGGTCTCCGATGCTGCGGCGGAACCTGTGGCAGCTGGGCTCCGAGTCGCGAAGGCGCTTAAGGCCTGGCGGGTGCCTCCCCCAGAAGGCGAAGGAGAGCTGGGCTTGGGGCCCCCACAAAGCACCGCCTCTCGCGTGACCCGCAGGAGCCTATTACCATCGCTGGGAAGAGGTTCCCATCGCACAGCGCAAGCCCAAGGGCCCGATTTGCCAAAGCATGTTCCCTTCCGAGCTTTCCGAAAGGGCAGGCGAGAAGTGCATCCGCTTGAGCCTGGGAAGGCATCTCTCTGTACTGTGACAGTGTGACATACAACCCTCTTTCAACCAGAGCCTGCGCCGCCTGCGCCTTGAATTGGCAGCTCAGGAATCCGCATGAGATCGATGGCTCTGGCTTTTTCGTGGCCGTCTTCACGAAGACGCTCCACCGGGCGTTTCCCTTGGAAATCCCGCGACAGCCCAGCTTGGGTTCACAGATCCCTTGGAGAGCAAGGCCTGGACGCCTGTTTCACAGATGTCATGCGGTCACACCCTCTCGGTAAGCGACAGGAACCAGAACAACCGCTATGTCCTCGTCTCGCCAGAAAGCCCAGACGTCCGGTCCATTGCGACTCAGAAACAACCTAGCGGATGCCAGACCTGGGTGAAAAAAAGAGCTAGCTATCTTAGGTGGATTTCTACGGCTTGCAGAACGTGCCGGAGCCGCTGCTAGCTGAGTACAACACGAAGGCGAAGCTCACACAGCTGAATCTGGTGAACTCTAGCCTCCTGCGGCTTCTCCAGAGCCATCTGAACTGCAAGGCACTAAGGGCCAAAAGATTCTTTCAGCAGTTTCAGCCTGGGATTGGCCCGTGTTTGCAAGGGCTCGCCTCTGCTGGTTGCAGTGGGGATCCCTCTCTTCAAGCTCTTGGACGAGAATTTCATGACCAACATCAGCGTGCAATCGCGGTGGAGGCCTGCTCTCGAAGGCGCCTCTCTCTTGGCAGAGAGGATGACGAAACGCCGCCTCTTGCTTGCGGCTGAGCCCATGAGGCCAGGGCCAGGGGAGAGGTTATGTGGGCAGGTCTCTGCGCAGGTCTAGACCTTCGGAGCTTCGGTGCGCACCGGGAGGCAACTGCTCGCGACGAGGCTCTTGCCCATGGAGTCCCTCGAAGTGCTCGCGACGAGAGGCGACCTCGAAGGTCTGAAGAGCTGCGAGGAGAAGCTCGGGGCTGCCTTGGTGGGCGCCTTGGACGGCTCCTTCTGGGCTCCTTGCATCATCACAGGCCCGCAATGGCCCGCAGCCCGCCCTCTCTTGAGATGAGGGAAGAGAAGAGGAGAGCTTTTTTTTGGGAGGCAGAGGCCTGGAGCTCTACGCCAGCACCGTGGAGCTTGGCGATCCAAAACCCACTTTGCTCCCTACAAAGATGCCAGAAGTGCTGTGCCAGCGACCTGGGCCACACGTTTGCACAGGTCAGCGTCTCTACACTCAGCCGCCTGCCTTTGAGGGGTCTGTTTGTAAGGTACCTTATCTTGGATAAGCCCAGTGGCCTTCGTACGGAGGATGCGCTCCGTGCCTCGGTGTCCACGCTCTGATTTGAGAAGACTTCTTCCATTTGGAGCCTTCCCTCCCCGAGGCTTTGCCCAGGAGCTCAGCTCAGCCGCTGCTCAACTCGTGTCTCGACTGGACAAGGCTGGGCCCCGCGGCCCCAGCCTTTGAGGGCCCTACGGGCCCTACCGTGAGGGTGCTGTGGCTCTCTGAGCCAGGAGACCAGTGGCTGCCTGCTGATTCCCTTGACCGACAGCTCTGCGAAGCTCTTCACGGAGCAGTTCGCGGCAGCGCAGGCTTTCTCAGAGAGACCACAAAATCCCCCCCCCCCCACACGCTCTCGCGCTCTCGCAGATGCTCGATGCTCTCTCTCTCTGTGAGGTGAAGAAGTGCTACGTGGCCTTGGTGCTCGGCGAGCCGCCTTTGGAAGGCGACGTCTGCGCCCCGCTGAGCCTCTTGGAGGCCGGGGGAGGCAGCCGCTACAAGGCCTTCGTGGACGCCGAGGGCAAGGCGGAGAAGGGGCCTGCGGAAGCATCCGCGGAAGCGCGCGGCAAACACCAAAAGCTCTACGTAAAACGGACGTTTCACGCGCGTTCTCCAAGCCCTTTCCGAGCCGCGAAGCGACCGCAGGCGGCCTCCAGCTCCTACGAGCTGCTCTGGCACTCCAAAGCCCGAGGCGCGCAGCGAATCGGCGAAGCCCGTTCATAGCAAGAGAGTAGCAGCCTTGCGCGGCCTTGCTGCTTCCTTGCGCCGAGGCTGCTCGCTGCTTCTCGTGTACCCGAAGACCGGCAGCAGCCCACTTGAACTTAGTAGAGATGTCTTCTGCATGAAGTCGTGGAGTCATGGCAGCGGCTAGGACCTGGAGCAGCCAAGGGACGCATCAGATTCGTTGCCACATGGCGCACATTGGTCATGCTTTGGTCGGGGACGCGAAGTACGGTGCCCCCGTGTCGGCCTGGTGCCAACGTCTCCCGCTGCACTGCTTGGCCATCCGCTGCCTGGGCCCACAAGGCGAGGGCACCGTGAGTGCCTTTGCTCCGCTGCCTTCGGACTTTCAGCAGATCCTCGCCTCCCTCGACGACAAGACAGACTGGCAGCGCCTGGTCCGCGAGCGGTGCCTTAAGACTTGAGTCGTCGTTTCGACGCGGACGGCAGCTCAGGGGGCAAGAAAGCCCTGCAGCCCTACTCGGTTACCGCATTCACCAGGTCGCAGCATGCTGCGACGGGATTCGGCGTTCTCCCGCACATTCCAGCACCCCTGGCACCAGCACCACCTCCACTCGCGGAAGAGCCCGAGCTGGCAGATATGTCTTGCGGGCAAGAAAGGATCCCTGATTTTCAAGAGGCTGCTCAGATTCGTTTGTCTGCCGGTTCAGCACAGCCACCGCCGTCTTCGGTTTTGGGCCTTCGGATCGGCGTCCAAGAACATCCCCCATGATCCCCAGTGGTGCAAAGCTTAGCCAGCCTACACATCCCAGCTTCTTGCCGACGCGAAGCAGAGGTATCTTAGCAAAGTCAAGAGTTCTGAGGCACGCGTTGTTTTGTTTTTGCATGGCCAAGCGCCGTTGCACGCGACGTCGCTTCTGGGCCGTGCGCCTTCACAGCAGCCGCCCAGCTCACATCGTTGAGGCGCAGGGCAGGGCCGTGAGGGCTGTGCGGGGCTCGCGGCTGAGTCGAGGGGCCGAGGGGCCCGAGCTTCTGAGCAGGTCCCTGCCGGGCAGTTCCTTCAACTCTCCAGGGCCATGGACTCGAGCTAGCTGCGCTTAGCTGCGGCTCCTTTCGAGCGGCCTCCATCGGCCCAAGGGGTCCCTGCGCAGGCTTGCGTCAGTGAGGGGACAAAGGCCAGACTGCAGGCCGAGCCGGCAGCCGAAGTGCCCCGCCGAGAACTTCACAGCCCACGTTTCTCCACGTAGGTGTCGGTGGAGGCTCCAGCCACTGCAGGCCCCCGCACCGACGGTTCGGAATCGCCTCTCGTGCTTTGTCCTTGCAAGCATGCAGTCGCTTGCCTGGTGCAGAAGGACATGGCAGCGGCGCCTTCAACTTTGCCTTCCTAATCGAGGAAGGCCCGTCGCGAAGTTGAGAGAACTTTTGACTTCATGGTCATTGAACACTTGATCACATCCGCTTTACCTTCACATCGCTGGAGCTGAGACGGAGGCGGCCGGAACCTGTCCTTGCGCTTGCCACGGGGCTATGCCTGGCAGCTGAAACTCATCAACAAAGGCCAGCGATAAAGGAATGAGTTGTTGGCGCAACTGTGTGTGTTGCCGTGAAGGGTTCTGTGCCGAGGACCTGTGCTGACCAGCTCTGCGGTGGACGTTCTGGGCTACGTCACGCCGAGCAGAGGTTCTGGCAGAGGCATCAGAGGCAGCGGCAGTGAGTTCGCATGATGATCTCTGTTCACGACAGGAGCGAGGAGGACAATCCAGGACTCGCCGAGGCTGGGGAACGGGTTGTGCAGTAGTCCGTGCACTGAGCTCACGGCTTTGCAACTGCACCCGCTTGGAAGCCATCTTTCGCGATTTGCAAAGGAAGGGTTTGAAGATGCTTGAAGCGACAGAGTGATATTGACACCGTCTCTTGTGAACCTACTGAGGACCTAGCCGCTTAGCCTGCCTCATCGTTTTATTCCCGGTAGCGGACCAGAGCTTCCACGCGTCGTACAGCCCATGCACCGCGAGCCTACGAGCCACGAGCACGGGGTCACTGCACGGACCTCTGCATTGCGAGCACCACCACGACTGGGGCGCGTGAGTTGAACCTGTGGCAGTGCTACGGAAGGACAGTGAAATTGAAGCATAGATTGGGAAGTACTTGTACTCCAGCGCTGGGCTTCTGCCATCTGATGCCACAAAGATCACAAGTAATGTTCCCGATTTTGTTATGCAAGATTACTCACCTACGCCATGAACGCCAGGACACGATGAGGTATATTGCTGAAAAGAGCTCTGCTGTGCAGACAGTTTCCATACCTTGGAGCAGAAACGGAGGTTGAAGGTTGTGACATCAAACAGCAGATCAAAAACAAAGCTTTGGGAAAGTCGTGATATGCTGGGAGATCGCATGACCTATAGGCCAGATGTTTTTTGCAAGGAGCCTTTGCCCTGATGAGTAGACATACCAGACACTGTGCGAGGATGCCGCCTGCCATGTGGGGGCGAAAGGTTCAAACGGCACAACCGCCCGCGCTCGCTCCTTGCAGGGCCCAAGCCGCCAGCTTACAGACTTAACCTCAGGCGTCCTTCCTTCCACAGGAGATGAATGCGAAGGTGCTGCGGAGGATGGGGTTCGTCGTCCGGTCGTCCGCGGCTGTCGACTTCGCAGTGCCGTTGGCATGCGAGCCACTCTGCCTCGCAAGAGCTGCTGCAGTGGAAGATTATGATTATGAAGCCGGAAAGCGGGCGGCGGGCGTTGATTCGCCGGGTTGCCGAAGCGGTGGGTGGGCACCAGCTGGCACCCAGCTCCCTCCGTCTGCAGCGAGAGCAACGAGCGAGTTCTGCGACACCTCGGGCAGCGGCCCCGCCGGACTGGCCCGATCCTTGACGTTATCTGCTTCGCCGGTGCCACTGCTCCTCCTCCGCACCGCTCTAGGGCCTCTAAAACCGAAGGCTTCTCAGCCCAGCCGGTTCGCCCATCTATTGCTTTGTCACCCAGTCGGTGTCCCAACCGTGGTTGAGTAAGTATAGGGGCGCTGACTGCACAGCCTGCAGCCCCCTTTGCTGGTTTTGTGCGCTTGCAAGGTCAAGCCTCTTGTAGCGACAACTCATACGTAGCTGAGCCTGTGCCGTACTGAGCTGGCATAGCAAGCTAGATCTTACCTGCGGCTTACTTCTCCTGGGTTTAGCGTGTCTCGTCGAAAAGACCCCTAGGTCCCTAGTTCAAGAACCTCTGCTGCCTCTGCTTGTTGTGCGTGAAGCTGGCACGGAGCCGGTGGTGAGGCGGCACAGCTCGCTCCGGCAGGTGCGCCTGCCTGCAGGCTAGGGATCAAAAAGGGAAGTGCTTCGTCCCTTCTCTTGTCTGATGCCATTGGTTCTAGGCTGGACAGCGCTGTCCTTTAAGTCCACCAGCGATGGTCGCTTAGCCCCGCCGCAGAGAATTGTCAATTTCCGGTGCCAAATGAGGCTGCCCTTACTCTCAGGTTGTGACCGATGTCCCGAAAGCATGCTTCTCTTCAAGAGACTTCGGTGCAGCTGCAGCCCCACAGGCCAGCAGGCCAGTGAGAGCCGGCTGGTCAGAGCGAGACCTGAAGCTGCCGACAGGTCGCGAATGCAGCAAACTCAGGCAACGCGCACTGACGGCGACAAACGTTGCCTAATTCCATGCAAGGTGGCCGTTGGTGACGAAATCGACCGAATCTGAGCTTTTCGGCGGCTTTTTAACTTGTGCGTCTCCGAGTTCTGAGGTCGACGTGAACGGCTTTTCCTTGGCAAGCTTGGCCAAGTGCATTATGTCTCCGGGCTGTCAATTCAACACCTGCAGCGAGCATGTGCCCGGCAGCGCCGCTCGGCTATCCGAGAAACCGCCACTCATCTCCTCGTGGGCCGCACGTGCGCCTTTTCGTGCTGCGCGAACAGGTCGGCAAACTGCAATCGCCTCCCTGCATCTCCTGTGACTTCATTCGGCGCCGGCGCGAGTTTGGCTTGGACGGCGCTGAGGGTGAACAGTGAAGACGGTTGGGCCGTTGGCCGTTCCAGGCACTTGTTGCCACAGCATAGGCAAGCCTTCTTGCTCAAACTTGCAAGCAGATCTACAGACCGCGGCGTTTGAGAAGGACTTGGCCTTGCAGATGTGGCTTCGTGTGGTAAAGCTCCGTGGCTGCAGCGTGGGATGCAGTAAACTGGGATCCAGTGCACCGTGCCCCTGTGAGAGATGGTCTTCATGTCGTGCTTGGTCGCATTGTGGTGTGCTCACCTGCGCATTTTCGCTGCTAAGCCGAACGTTCGGCAGTGTGTTGGGCTTTTGGCCATTCCAGGCCTGACGAAGTCGTGACATTTTGCCACCGCCACCAGACCTGGAAAATGTGGGGTTGGTGTTGAGTCGACTCCTAAACCGTTGGAGAAAGTCCGGTGTGAGAGGGAAGGATTTCCTCCAGCACGAGTGAAGTAATCCCAACCGCGACCGTAGCTCCCTTCTGTCCCTTCAGACTTGCCGTTATTACTCTTGTCGGAAAGGTGGGCCACCGTCGTCGGAGTTTTTGTTTGCCGCTCGGGGCTCCAATCTTACACGATGGCAGGCTTGCCGTGCAGAACACCCACCTTCTTTTCACAAGCAAACTGTCAGGGTTCTTGAATGCTCTTGATACTTTGGAAGACCCCTTCATTTGGTAGCGCTGGGGTGCGTGTCGCTCCTTGTCTTACTTGAAGTGTGCGCCTGTCTCCAAGTGTATCAGCTTATCTCCCCTTGCCTTCCTTCATTCGGGACCGGGTGGGGCCCGCGCCAGGATTTGCAGCGTTTTTTCGCCCCTTTTCCCACCAAGGACAGAACGTCGCACCCTTACTCGCAGTTAGCCCACGTTCGTGCCACGTGTACACCATAAAGTCCACAAGCTCGGAAACGATGCTTCAGCAAAGTTGCACCGACTGAGCGTCGTCTGTTCCATGCGCCACAGCTTCCCCCCCAACGTTTTTCAGCCTATTGTGCACCGAGACGTGCGGGACTGGAACGATCTTAAAGATTGGTCTGCGACGGCGTGACCGAAACATCAGGAAGTTCCGAAAATCACCGGACTTTGGCAGCGTCGAGAGATAACTGCTGCATGTCGTTCTTGCCCTTCTTTAAGTCAGGGGCTTGATCCATAAATAGTATTGCCCTTCATTTCTACTTGCCCGCCTCTCAGTAATCGCTCGGCGTTGCGGCCGTTTTGCGCTGAGAACTCACGCGTGCCTGCCCAAGAACGCTTCTTCATGTCTGCAACTGTTCTCCCAGGCTGCCAGGAAGCCATCGAGCTGAGCTTTCCGAGACTGCCAGCCGTGGATTTTTGACAAGTCTGAAACTGGTACCCTCAAGTCTGCAATGCCTGTGACATCCAGGCTGTCTGTGGCCTTTTGGTGTTCAAGTCTGAGCCTATGCATGGGACATGAGCTTTGTAAGCAGATGATGATCAAGCCCCATGATGCCTACTTGGGCACAAACATGTTGATCTTGGAATCGAGCGCACCCGCAAGATCAGGCATGAACTCCAAGATGTTGTCACAGGAGGGCAGCGTCCAGACTGTTCTGTGATGTGAACATGTTCCTTTCAGGAAGGAGCCCGGCTACCACTTTCCAATGTTTTCCAACAGTATTGTTTGCTCAGCTTTGGTTTCAACTGTGTGCGGTCTTCGGCAGTGCAACATACAATGATGCAGGCGCGCTGCCTTTCTTTTCAAAGGTCCTCGTCGGCAGCCGACGCCAGCGCATCAACTGTCACAATGGCATTTCAGAGTTTTGCCGTCGTGTTCTTCGCATGGTACTTGTATGGCCCCTGCGCGCCGAAACATGTTCTCAATGCAGCTTTCGGAGGCCACATGTCACATTGCAGCGGCAGCGGGCCCGTCTCGGCCGTCTCGATTCTCCTTGCTGAAAAGGTCACTGGTGTGCTGCCACCGCCATTCCTCCGTTTCTCCTCGTGCCTCGCTGCTTCACCCAGCAGTGCGAGCGGTCTCAAGACTTGGACGGCTGCGCCTACGCTCGGCAACATGTGAACCTAGTTGCAACCGGAACTTTCCCACACTGTAAATGCACCTGCTCCACCCGGACGGCACCCTCTGGCACTCCGATGGAAGGGCCCACTCCATCGTCCAGGGGCTCCCGGGGCATCTCTTTGGCTGGGGCCTACATTGGTCCGGTTCCTGGACTCCTCATCCGTGGCTTGACAGAGCACGCAGCTCAAACAGCTATGTGGCATAAGCGCGGAATGTGTTACTTGCAGGACAACCTGCTGACGGTTACAGGGTTTGTTGAGCAAACATTTCGCATCGGTTTTTGGTCGTTTCGCCGCCGTTTTGACCGGCGTGCCCGTCTTCCTGGACTCATGACGAGGGCCCAGCCGTGGCATGCCACTGAGGCAAGCTCAGCAAGCTTCATGAAGCGAAACTTTCAGCACGAAAGGCGGACAAAGCACGGTTTCCCGTTGACACGGCAGCATCACCAGGAAGGGGCTGCAACTGGATTTACCAACAGGTCCCAGCAACGAGCCCTTCAGCATCATCGTAGTACTTGCGCCAAATGTTACAAAGCGACGTGTTTGCACAGAAGGTTCGATTCGCGTGGCGGGTGGGCCCGCGTTTTGCCGGCGTAGGGGGCGAATTGGTGGCCGAGTTGATGCCTGCTTCGTGCTACATGCTTTCACCATTTAGCACTGCCATCACAGAGGATGTGGATGTTACCATGGATACCAGCTACGAATTACGAAGCAGGTTTCGACATGGCTTATGCCAAGCCATCTTCGCCTTTGACCCATGTGTTCTGCTCTTCCGCTTGACCTTCTGATGAAATTCATTTGCTTGGTATTGTCAAAAGTGCCAAAAAAGACGGTTGGTTTCGCACATCCCCAGGCAGGACATGTCGATCACACTTGGCGCCCTGAGCTGAGAATCTGCCTGGACGGTACCGCAACAAAAAGCAGTGCTTTCGCAGGTCCGCCGCCCGCGGGACCACAGCGAGAGCAGGTTGGGAGCAAGACTTTAGACTCTAGATGCGACCCGGGCCGACCAGCCGAGGCTTCATCCTGAGCGCTCGCAAGCGACGCAAGCCCCAGTGGCAAGCCGCGAGGCCAAGAAATGCCGCAGGTACTGCTACACCTCTGGCCCCTCGGGGTTTCTACTTCTGCTGCAGAGGAGATCAGGGCCGAGGCACCCAAAGCCATGCCCAAGGCCGCGGCTGAAGTCCAGACAACTTCTTCGGAGGCTCAGGCGCCTCCGGTGCCTCTCCGCCGTGGCGCCCCAGTCGCAGCGAGAACGCTACGCGCAAGACTTTTATTTTGAGACTGTCATCGCATGAAGTCGTTGAGGCTACAATCCACTGAAGCCAGCGGCGACGGGGGCGGTTAAGCCCTCACACGCCGAATGCAATATGCTTGTCGGTTGGTTTGTCTTTACGGCTCTCCGAGGTTTCGACCTCCCCAAAGGCTCGTCAGGGGCCGCTTCGCGGAGTGCAGCGCTTGGCCCGTCATCTTCGCCAAGTGAACGTTTCTGCTCTCCGAAACCGAGGCTCTGACGCAGCTGGCTGGTGGTTTGTGCTACGAAGAGCTCCCACCCAAAGGAGAGCGATGGAGCGTCCATGTCAGTCCGATCTTGCTTCAGACATGCCGTTACCCTTCACACTACTACTACTACTACTACTACTACTACTACTACTACTACTAGTACTGCTGCTACAACAACTCCTACCACCCTTACTACTACTACTACTACTA